CATTTATCTTTGATAATTAGAAACGCACGGCTCAAAAGACATACGGCCAAAACTAATTCCAAATAACTGCTACTTTGACCAAGAAGACCAACGGAGATGTTCAACTATCGATCGTAATGCCTTCAGCAAAGTGTATAGTCCGATACATCTGAATGTATTCAGCGGTACTAAGGATAGGTAAAGTGTCATTCAGTATCAATGGTCAAAAGATGACCAAAACATAATGTGCACAAATACGCGACTAACAACGTGTATCGGGGTATTTTCACAAGTGACAGTGAATTCGAAACATCTGAATGGCCGCTATGACAGCCATATTGAACATAGGATCAGAATCATAAACACAACGCCAGATGTGCTTACTTGCACCGACGACCGTGATGTCAACATGCTTGAAGATAGTTTCGGACAAAAAAGATAGGCAACTGGCGACGACGGAACCACACGAGATGGTCGAAGCTGACTAGACTGTGGCTTCAGATGAGCTTAACCAAGAATTGATTTACATATTCAAAGATCCGTTGACGTGTTGCTCGTATACACTTCTTAACGGTGATGTTTCTCTAAGACGAAGTCCAAGATCCTCACCACAGAGTTCCACGTCAGACAGTGTAACAGTATCGATAAGGGAGGTGACTCGGTCTAGTCTTATGTAAATGCACGCCGATATCATTTTGTAATTATCGGTTAAACACGTATGGGTCCTTTTAACCAGACTGGGCTTAATGAAAGCACTCTGTCTCAACCTTGAATCTCGACTCACTGACCTTACTCCTAAGACTCGTATGGATCAGGAATACATTCGGTCTATTAGGCGACAAGCTACTTAATTGAAGCAAGCATGAAGAGCGAGCAACGACTGCCAGATTACATGCTCCGTCTATGGAGGACGTCACAACAAGGGCACCGTGTGTCAAGGATTGTCCTTTATGGATTGGGCTTAGGACGCTGTGAGATACGTCCCATCACATCATGTTGCAGGTGCAGGAGCGAGTGGGTTTGGTTCAACGATGCTTTGAGGAGCATTCAGTTATGTCACGGCGCATCAGCCGTATTAGGGGAAGGTGCGAACAGCCCAAAGACCACCGTCGACCAAAGATCATCACCGACCAAAGATCATCATCGAAGCACATGCACCAACAACCAACGGATCCAGAAAAAGTGGGCTGTGCTGTGGTCGACACGGCTGGACTGGTATGATGCCATGTCCTCGGCTGGTATGATGTCATGTCCAAGGCTAGTATGATGCCATGTCCTCGGCTGGTATGATGCCATGTCCTAGGCTTGTATGATGCCATGTCCAAGGCTGGTCTGATGCCATGTCCTAGGCTGGTATGATGCCATGTCCTCGGCTGGTATGATGCCATGTCCTCGGCTGGTATGATGCCATGCCCTAGGCTTGTATGATGCCATGTCAAAGGCTGGTCTGATGCCATGTCCTAAGCTGGTATGATGCCATGTCCTCGGCTGGTATGATGCCATCTCCTCGGCTGGTCTGATGCCATGCCCTAGGCTTGTATGATGCAATGGCCAAGGCTCGTATGATGCCATGTCCTAGGTTGGTATGATGCCATGTCCTCGGCTGGTATGATACCATGTCCTAGGTTGGTATGATGCCATGTCCTAGGCTTGTATGATGCCATGTCATAGGCTGGTATGATGCCATATCCTAGGCTGGTATGATGCCATGTCCTAGGCTGGTATGATGCCATGTCCTACATGATGCCATGTCCTAGGCTTGTATGATGCCATGTCCAAGGCTGGTATGATGTCATGTCATAGGGTGGTATGATGCCATGTCCTAGGCTGGTATGATGCCATGTCCTCGGCTGGTATGATGCCATGCCCTAGGCTTGTATGATGTCATGTCCAAGGCTCGTATGATGCCATGTCCTCGGCTGGTATGATGCCATCTCCTCGGCTGGTCTGATGCCATGCCCTAGGTTTGTATGATGCCATGGCCAAGGCTCGTATGATGCCATGTCCTAGGTTGGTATGATGCCATGTCCTAGGCTGGTATGATGCCATGTCCTAGGTTGGTATGATGCCATGTCCTAGGCTTGTATGATGCCATGTCATAGGCTGGTATGATGCCATATCCTAGGCTGGTCTGATGCCATGTCCTAGGCTGGTATGATGCCATGTCCTACATGATGCCATGTCCTAGGCTTGTATGATGCCATGTCCAAGGCTGGTATGATGCCATGTCCTAGGCTGGTATGATGCCATGTCCTCGGCTGGTATGATGCCATGTCAAAGGCTGGTATGATGCCATGCCCTAGGCTTGTATGATGCCATGTCAAAGGCTGGTCTGATGCCATGTCCTAGGCTGGTATGATGCCATGTCCTCGGCTGGTATGATGCCATGCCCTAGGCTTGTATGATGTCATGTCCAAGGCTCGTATGATGCCATGTCCTCGGCTGGTATGATGCCATCTCCTCGGCTGGTCTGATGCCATGCCCTAGGTTTGTATGATGCCATGGCCAAGGCTCGTATGATGCCATGTCCTAGGTTGGTATGATGCCATGTCCTAGGCTGGTATGATACCATGCCCTAGGTTGGTATGATGCCATGTCCTAGGCCGGTATGATGCCATGTCATAGGCTGGTATGATGCCATATCCTAGGCTGGTATGATGCCATGTCCTAGGCTGGTATGATGCCATGTCCTCGGCTGGTATGATGCCATGTCCTAGGCTTGTATGATGCCATGTCCTACATGATGCCATGTCCTAGGCCGGTATGATGCCATGTCCTACATGATGCCATGTCCTCGGCTGGTATGATGCTATGTCCTAGGCTTGTATGATGTCATGTCCTACATGATGCCATGTCCTAGGCTGGTATGATGCCATGTCCTAGGCTTGTATGATGTCATGTCCTACATGATGCCATGTCCTAGGCTTGTCTGATGCCATGTCCTAGGCTGGTACGATGCCTTGTCCTAGGCTTGTCTGATGCCATGTTCTAGGCTGGTCTGATGCCATGTCCTAGGCTTTTATGATGCCATGTCCTTGGCTGGCATGATGCTATCGACATTGGTATGGTGCTATGTTCTACATTGGTGTGATGCTATATTCTGTATTGGTATGGTGCTATGTTCTATAGTGGTATGATGTTATATTCTATATTGGTGTGATGCTATGTGATAGACTTGAATGATGGCCAGAGATAATGTCCTCGGGAGATGTTGTAAAACATGGCCAGTAGGAATACTTGGATCACCCTGATCAGGTCAGAATCAGTTCAACATTCATGTCAAGGTCGAGCTGTAGGCACTAACACTAATCATGGCCAGTCGTGATGGCCTCGGGCAATCTAGGACCCGCTATCGGCAATATATACTACACTTACCATGGCCAGTCGTGATGGCCTCGGTGATTTAGGACCCGCTATCGGCAATATATACTACACTTACCATGGCCAGTCGTGATGGCCTCGGGCAATCTAGGACCCGCTATCGGCAATATATACTACAATAATCATGGCCAGTCGTGATGGCCTCGGGCAATCTAGGACCCGCTATCGGCAATATATACTACACTTACCATGGCCAGTCGTGATGGCCTCGGGCAATCTAGGATACGCTATCGGCAATATATACTACAATAATCATGGCCAGTCGTGATGGCCTCGGGTGATCTAGGACCCGCTATCAGCAATATATACTACACTTACCATGGCCAGTCGTGATGGCCTCGGGCAATCTAGGACCCGCTATCAGCAATATATACTACACTAATCATGGCCAGTCGTGATGGCCTCGGTGATCTAGGACCCGCTATCAGCAATATATACTACACTAATCATGGCCAGTCGTGATGGCCTCGGGCAATCTAGGACCAACTATCGGCAATATATACTACACTAATCATGGCCAGTCTTGATGGCCTCGGGCAATCTAGGACCCGCTATCAGCAATATATACTACACTAATCATGGCCAGTCTTGATGGCCTCGGTCAATCTAGGACCCGCTATCAGCAATATATACTACACTAATCATGGCCAGTCTTGATGGCCTCGGGCAATCTAGGACCAACTATCGGCAATATATACTACACTAATCATGGCCAGTCTTGATGGCCTCGGGCAATCTAGGACCCGCTATCAGCAATATATACTACACTAATCATGGCCAGTCTTGATGGCCTCGGTCAATCTAGGACCCGCTATCAGCAATATATACTACACTAATCATGGCCAGTCGTGATGGCCTCGGTCAATCTAGGACCCGCTATCAGCAATATATACTACACTAATCATGGTCAGTCGTGATGGCCTCGGGCAATCTAGGACCCGCTCTCGGCAATATATACTACAATAATCATGGCCAGTCGTGATGGCCTCGGGTGATCTAGGACCCGCTATCGGCAATATATACTACACTTACCATGGCCAGTCGTGTTGTCCTCGGTGATCCAGGACCCGCTATCGGCAATATATACTCGCTTCCGCTAAACAAAGATCTGAGGACATCTCATTACGGGTCACGTCAGACCGACCTTGCGCGAACTTTGACCGACCAATGAAATGACTGACAAGAAGTCGACATTAGCCAATCAGAAGGCAACTTTCTCGTGCTTTACGGCACTAATTTCAAATTGGCGTGTACGCTTCGAAACATATTTTGACAAATTCTTGATAAAAAAATTGAAACCTGAACAAAAGAACATTCTGGAATGGTCTAGATGGTATGGATTCAGTCCTTGAGCCCGTAACTATCGTTCGGAATACCCTGTGTTTAAGTTTTCGAGGTTGCATGATTAGCAATCACATTCCAACTGTAAATTTCATGATCTGGTAAGCGACGCTCTGATTGGTCGGATGAAAGGTCGTTCTGACGTGACCCCTAATGGGATGTCCTCAGATCTTTGTTTAGCGGTAGCGAGAACTAAGATCTGATTTTAATGAGATCGATATATACTACACTTACAGTGGCCAGTCGTGATGTCCTCCGGTGATCTAGGACACGCTATCGGCAATACATGCTACACTTACCATGGCCAGTCGTGATGTCCTCGGATGATCTAGGATGAGCCAGATCTTTGTCTGCCAGTACTTCCATCCTGTCAGGACGTTGAGGTCGACGTTAAAGTTTTCCTTCTGGAGCGAGGAGTCAAATGAGTCGAGTATCCTCTGATTCTCTATGTAGGAGCGGTAATGGCGCCAACAGCAGGCCTTAATCTCGTGTTCGTTCATCTGCCAGAAGTCCAGCTCGCGCTTCACCACAGCTCCACACACCTCCAGGGGCACGTGCAGCTCACCTGTAACATAGGATTCGCAAAATGAATGCGTACTGAAGCAGGGCAGACATATTTACACGTCGCAATTACTTCCAGTGTCAATGAAACATATCTCAGAGATTAAACACAGTCTGATTTCGAACTATGGTTTCTGATTATTTAATTTCTGACGATTCCTGGAAAGTATTGGTTCCCAGTTACCAATTCTTGTCGTAAGAGAGCCACTTGTACATTGTTCTTGATTCTAACGTGCTACACGTAAATTGTGAATTGCCCCTGATTTGTACGCATTAAATGTAACTTGTGCATCGTTCTTGATTTAGACATGATAGACGTAAGATGTGCTTCGTTCTTGATTTGTATGTCTTAAGCGTAAATTGTGAATTCTCGATTTGCAATGTAAATTGTACGTCGTTGTTGATTGGCACCTGTTAACCGTAAATTGTACGTCATTGATTTGCACCTGTTAACCGTAAATTGTACGTCATTGTTAATTTGCACCTGTTAACCGTAAATTGTACGTCATTGTTAATTTGCGCCTGTTAACCGTAAATTGTACGTCGTTGTTGATTTGCGCCTGTTAACCGTAAATTGTACGTCATTGTTAATTTGCACCTGTTAACCGTAAATTGTACGTCATTGTTCATTTCGCGCCTGTTAACCGTAAATTGTACGTCATTGTTAATTTGCACCTGTTAACCGTAAATTGTACGTCATTGTTAATTTGCACCTGTAAACCGTAAATTGTACGTCATTGTTAATTTGCACCTGTTAACCGTAAATTGTACGTTGTTGTTTATTGGCATCTGTTAACCGTAAATTGTACGTCGTTGTTTATTTGCACCTGTTAACCGTAAATTGTACGTCGTTGTTTATTTGCACCTGTGAACCGTAAATTGTTCATCGTTAATGCTTTGCACCTGTGAACCGTAAATTGTTCATCGTTAATGCTTTGCACCTGTGAACCGTAAATTGTTCATCGTTAATGCTTTGCACCTGTGAACCGTAAATTGTTCATCGATAATGCTTTGCACGTGTTCAACGTTGCTTGCGCATCATTGTTCACTTGAACGTATGACGTAAATAGGCGAGTACAAAACTGATTAATGCACATGTCACGTGGTATTTCGAAACAGTATCCATCACCAGACATGACAGTTCGTGACATAGCCGACATTGCCGTTATTGTATAACTGAATTTCCTTTCCGCAGAAATCAAACCTGTTCATTTTACAACCCCAATACACTTTATGTACGAAACATGAGGACAAGAAAACTTAATCACGAAGACCTTCCAAGCCAGAAAGAAAATCAAATATCAATGCTTCTCCAATAACGGTACTGGCACAGCCGAGTTCCTTCCTTTGTACATGTAATCGTTGAATGGTATTGCGCTGTGTGACGGAGACAAACGAGAATTGGCAGTCTTGCTGATGCGGGCTCGCTGAAGCCAGATGTTACAGGGTAATGGCGTCATCAGGGAGATCATATGACCTCATAACCGCTAAGTATCCTGTTACATGCCCCTAAGCTATCGTAAACCCAAATGAAATAAAAATTAGAAACCCGGCTTAAATTCTCGGAAGTAATACATTATTTAGCGTATAATTGACAGTTTGTGTTACATTTCAGTTTGACTGAGAGCACCTCAAAGCATCAGAGTGTAAAGGCACACGTGTTCTGTGGCGACTGATTTGAACGTAGTCAATACCATGTAGGTGTTGATGGTTTGGTTGACGACGCAGTCAGTACTATTTCGTCTATATTCCCAATACACTGAAAGTGGTGCGAACGACTAGATTCTCAATACACTGAAAGTGGTTCATACGCCTAGATTCTCAATACACTGAAGGTGGTCCGTACACCTAGATTCTCAATACACTGAAAGTGGTGCGTACACCTAGATTCTCAATACACTGAAAGTGGTGCGTACACCTAGATTCTCAATACACTGAAAGTGGTTCATACGCCTGGATTGTAAATACACTGAAGATGGTCCGTACACCTACATTCTCAATACACTGAAAGTGGTTCATACGCCTAGATTCTCATTACATTGAAAGTGGTCCGTACACCTAGATTCTCAATACACTGAAAGTGGTCCGTATGCCTAGATTCTCAATACACTGAAAGTGGTTCATACGCCTAGATTCTCAATACACTGAAAGTGGTTCATACGCCTGGATTCTCAATACACTGAAGGTGGTCGATATGACAAGATTCCCGATACACTGAAGGTTGTTCATACGCTAGATTCTCAATACATTGAAAGTGGTCCGTACACCTAGATTCTCAATACACTGAAAGTGGTCCGTATGCCTAGATTCTCAATACACTGAAAGTGGTTCATATGCCTAGATTCTCAATACACTGAAGGTGGTTCGTACGCGTAGGTTCTCAATACACTGAAGGTGGTCCATACGCCTAGATTCTCAATACACTGAAAGTGGTCCATATGCCTAGATTCCCAATACACTGTAGATGGTCGATATGACAGGATTCTCAATACACTGAAGGTGATTCATACGCCTAGATTCTCAATACACTGAAGATGGTTCATACGCCTAGATTCTCAATACATTGAAAATGGTCTATACGCCTAGATTCTCAATACACTGAAGGTTGTTCATACGCCTAGATTATCAATACACTGAAAGTGGTTCATACGCCTAGATTCTCAATACACTGAAGGTGGTCCGTACGCCTAGGTTCTCAATACACTGAAGATGGTCCATACGCCTAGATTCTCAATACACCGAAAGTGGTTCATACGCCTAGATTCTCAATACACTGAAAGTGATCCATACGCCTAGATTCTCAATACACTGAAGGTGGTCGATATGACAAGATTCTCATTACACTGAAAGTGGTACATACGCCTAGATTCTCAATACACTGAAAGTGGTTCATAAGCCTAGATTCTCAATACACTGAAGGTGGTCCATACGCCTAGATTCTCAATACACTGAAGGCGGTCCATACGCCTAGATTCTCAATACACTGAAAGTGGTCCATACGCCAAGATTATCAATACACTGACAGTGGTCCATATGACACGAATTTCAATACACTGAAGGTGGTCCATACACCTAGATCCTCAATACACTGAAAGTGGTTCATAAGCCTAGATTCTCAATACACTGAAGGTGGTCCATACGCCAAGATTCTCAATACACTGAAAGTGGTCCATATGACACGAATTTTAATACACTGAAGGTGGTCCGTACACGTAGATCATCAATACACTGAAAGTGGTTCATAAGCCTAGATTCCCAATACACTGAAGGTGGTCCGTACGCCTAGATTCTCAATACACTGAAAGTGGTCCATACGCCTAGATTCTCAATACATTGAAAGTGGTCCGTACGTCTAATTTCTCAATACACTGAAAGTGGTTCATACGCCTAGATTCTCAATACTCTGAAGATATATGCGTAGTTTATCCCCTATCAAAGCCTCATAATGACAGTCCATGGTTTTTTTATGACACATCCTCATTCTTCTCTCCATATACCCATGCGAAATCCAATCTTGTACAACAGGCCCTGTAATCGATTCTCATCACACATGTTTTCTTTTGGCCTCTTCCGGGAATTATTTTCTCATATCTCCCAAAATGTACCAGTCTTTTGAGGATACAGTTTTTCATGATTCCATTGACTCCAAAGACAACGGAACTGTATGTGCCCATCAAATATGCACCAAGAGCGAGTGGCTTTTTATGGTACCGATATCATATCATCTCCATTCTGATGAAAACAGGAATTTTAGAGTCGTGTATTGACTGGAATGTAACCAGTGTGCGTAAATAACATTCCCCTCCTAAAGTAACACTTCATCTCAAATGAAGGCATGGATGTATCAAGTCAATAGAATTTCAGTGACATCACTGCTAGGGCAGGAGATGATCACGTGATAAGAGGCGACACGAAAGACAACACAGACAGGCGGATATTATATTTGTCTACCATACCTGTGAGTAGTTATTGTAGCTTGGACATATCCATTAAACTGGGTTGTTTCAAGCGTGATTTATTTCTTTGTTGTTTAACGCCGCACTCAGCGATATTACAGCTATGTGACGGCGGTCTGTAAATAATCGAGTCTGAACCAGACAATCCAGTGATTGAATCATGAACGTCGATCCACGCAATTGGGATACGATGACATGCATCAACCATGTCAGCGAGCCTGACCGCCCGATTCCGTTAGTCGCCTCTAACGGCAAGCATGGTCTACTGATGACCTATTCTACCCCGGATCTTCACGGGTCTTTACAAGTGTGAACCCATTACGATCCCTAGGGAGGTCCTGAGAAGCCTAGCGTTGAAATAACGTCTCATGTTGAGAAATTCATAGATCGGAAATGCAAAAAAAGGGAGGACTCCAATTGTTTTGTACTATTCAAAGCTCAATGCCGACATGTGGTTTGAAAGAAGCAAACAAGGGCCAGCTTTACCAGAGTGATCTATTTAAACTTTTCTTTGAAACCTTTTTATACCACCGTCATACAATAATCGTGGTATTAGTGAGTGAGTGAGTTTGGTTTTACGCCGCTTTATGCAATATTTCAGCAATATCACGGCGGGGACACCAGAAATGGGCTTCACACATTGTACCCATGTCGGGTATCGATCCCTGGTCTTCGGCGTGACGAGCAAACGCATTAACCACTCGGCTACCCGACCGCCCCTCGTGGTATAAAGATAACACTATGCGATGAGGAAGACAATAAGACAAACAAAGAAACAAAATTCTTCCAAATACAATCTCAAACAGAAGTTCAGGATAGGCGATAAACGAGACGTGGTTCGTTTCAAGTTTGAGATAGAAGTGTGTCGTTGTTGTTTGTTTGTTTTTTGTTAAACGCTGCACTCAGCAATATTCCAGCTACATGACACTGTTCAAGCCAGTGATTGATATCATGAGCAATTGGGATACGATGACATTCATCAACCAAGTCAGCCAGCCTGACGGCCCGATCCCGTTAGTCGCCTCTTACGACAAGAATAGTGGTTACA